CTTTCCCTAGTTTTCTAATCTATGTTGAATTTAGATGACCTATGTACACAGAATCCAGAAGTAGACTGCCTGCTGCAAATCCCAGCTCAACTACCTCCAAGATATTTGAGTTTAAGCTAGTTACTTAACCTCTCTGTGGCTCAGTTTTCATCATCTATAAAATGGATATAATACCACTCCCACTTTGAAAAGTTGCTAAAAGGGTTAAATAATTTATTATTTATAAAGGGTACAGAATGGCTGGTACATAGTAGCCATATAGATATGTCATTAAGACCTACCTACACCTTCTCATCTCCTGTTATAAATGTGTGACATTGGGAGAAATTCATATATTTCATATATTTCAAAGAGAATAACATTTATCTCTTACCATTTGTACTAATGCACACTGCTTGGTCTCGCTGCAGAGAGTCATATCCGTTCTGTTTTTCTACACACACTCCTATACTGTCTCTTCTGTCTGGCTGTCCCACAGTTTCAACTCTGTAAATGAGGTAGAAAGGTCATTTAATCTTTTTTTAAACATGATATCTAACAGTTACTAAGCTTAAAAAAAGCAATTTCAACATAACTGCTCTTAATAATAGCTAACAATGATTCAGTACTTTCTAAATTCCAGGCACTATTTTAAAAATTTTGTATGTCTATAAATCATCTCATTTAATTCACATAACCCAGGTAAATGCTATTATCATCATACCTATTTTATACATGAGGAAACAAAAGGCAAAACAAGATTCAAAAAAGATGACCCTGATCATCTGGCTGAGTGGTGGCACTAGGATACGATCGCAAGCATTCTGCATGTACAGTCTACGTTAACTATAGCACATTTCTATTTTATGTTCTGGCTCTAGACACTTAGAAAACTTGTCATATTTGCCATTATAATGAATTTTACTAATACTGCTATCACTTAAACCTTCAATATGAGAGAGTCTATGCAATGACTTGATTACTATCTCTCAAGTATTTAAAGCCTATAAAAATAATAGTTATAGTTTTTTTTAAAAAAGGATAATATGTTTGTGAGCATACTTTGCTTCGAGAACCTCATATGTGGAAAGTTTAAGTATTTCCTTTTGTGTTTTAGTCTCAAATAATGCATCATTATGTAGTCTAGAAATAGGAAAGGTACAAAGGTCAACCCATGTTCTTATTACCAGGCTCATCTTTCCCATCATTCCAGAAAGGCAGACTTTGCAAGGACGGAAAAAGAAAACTTCGTGAGGAATTGAATGTAATGTTACCAAGGGTAGATGTGATTATTTATACTCAATGTGGCCTTAAAATGTCTTTCGTTGTAAAGTGGCAAATATGCAGGATCATAATAAATATGTGAGCAGGTTTCTGCAGTAATTTCACTTCTAAATCAGCAGTCTAAAGAAGTTTGGGAAGACCTTCCTTTTGCAAAATGGGTTACCAGCAGCTCTATTTACTAAGGCCATTTGAGAAAATGTGGCCAGAGGTCTCATTCTTGCTGCACCTGCTCAAACCAGCATGGTCTGATCTGGAAATACAGCCTCAATATGTGCTGCCAGTGTTTCTGTCAGGACGCAAAGGCTTAAGTTAGACTAAGTGAACTTCCTTGAATAGGTCATTCAAGACATCTACCTTACTGCAAAAACAATACTAGCTCTTTGTACATAAAATTTAAAAAACTTCAAATAAAAAAAAGCATGGGGAAGAAGAGAGTGATGTCAGCAATATGGCAGAATAATAAGTATGAGTCCTCATTCTACTGCAGAAATACTGCTTTACCAATGATATGCACACCAATATATCTTCATGAGATTTTCAGAATCCAGTTAAGCTGTACTACGCCAAGGAAGTATAGAGCTGAAAACAGCTCTATTGAAATGAGTAAGAAGAGCAATTTCACTTTCCCCATGTCAGCCCCTCTTCCAAACTACAACAGCTCAGTACCAGGCAAGAACACCCCAGCTTTTGACTTTCCCTTCAGGAGGTAAGAGAGAAGTAGAAAGTGGATCTAGCATTCCAACTCTAGAAGGCTACCTGAAGGGTTGGTTTCTGTTGTGCCTCATTTTGAGCACTGCAGGAACTGGCATAGTATGGATGCTTGAATGCTGCTGAGACCAAAGAAAAGAGAGAGTGGCATCCTGTTGCCAGTGCAACTTGGCATGATGAGAAGGTGCATAACTCAAGGCTTCTCTCCATCGGGAAGAAGGGAGAAGAGTAGATGTTTCTGGTGCACCACCTTTTCATGGAACTGCTCAAGGAAAGAGTATCTGTCTTACTTGATGTGGGGCACTGATGGGGAGCCCACATACTCTAGATGTCTGGTGGCCACTGAGTACGAGAGAGAGCAGGGCAGCTTGGCTGCTGTGTCACCAAAGAATTTGCAGTGTCACAAACAGGCACCAAAGGGAGCAAGAGATGATGAGTCCCTAAAAAACTAGCAAGGCTCTCTAATGGAGAAACTGTACACACAAGCTCAGGGAAGTCTCATCTCCCACCAAAAGATTTCAGAGGTCCCCAGAATCTTTAGCTGAACTCATTTGTGAGGGTCTTCTCCTGTATAACGCCAGGCCATAAAGATTGGGAAAGGTGACTGTTTTCATATGTGTAGATCCCAGTACAAAATTATGAGATACATAAAGAAATAGGGAAACATGGCCCAAATAAAAAATAGATCTCTGGAAAAAATATCTTAAGGAAATGGAGGTATATAAATTATCTGACAACAATTCAAAATAACCATCATAAAGACACTCTATAAGCTCTAGAAAATGTATGAACAAAATGAGAATATCAACAAAGAAACAAAAAATATAAAACAAAACACTTGCAGCTGAAGAATACAGTAACTAAACTGAAAAATTGATGATGGGAGTTCAATATCACATTAAAGAAACATTGAATTTGAAGACAGATCATTTGAAATGGAATCAGAGTAGGTAAAAAAAAAGAGTGAAGAAAGTCTAAGAGTCTTATGGGAAAAGAGAGAGGGAAAGGGATAGAATATTTATTTAAATAAATAATGGCTGAAAATTTCCCAAACCTGAGGAAGGAAATGGATATCTAAATTCAATAAGACCAATGGACTGCAGCTAGAATGAACCCAAGAAATCACATTGAAACACATTAAAATCAAATTGTCAACAGCCAAAAACAGAATTTTGAAAGCAGGAAAAGTGACTCATCACGTACAAGGGAACTCATAAGACTGTCAGTGGATTTCTAAACAAATCTTTCAGGCAAGAAAGGAGTAGGATGATATATTTAAAGTGCCTAATGAAACAAACTGGCAACTAAGAATACACGGCAAAACTGTCCTTGAAAAATGAGGAAGAAATGAAGATATTTATACATAAACAAAAACGGGGAAGCGGGGGCATGTCATCATTACTAGACCTTCCTTGCAAGAAATCCCCTTCCAGTTGAAACAAAAAAGATACTAAAAAGCAACATCAAAGTATGGGGATACATCACATGTTAGGATACATCACATGTTAGGTCATAAAAGAAGTCATGACAAATTTAAGACTGAAATCACACCACATATATTTTCTGACTGCACTGAAATGAAACTAGAAAATGAATGGCAGAAGGAAAACTAGGAAGTTCACGAATATATGGAAATTAAACAACCGACTCTTAAACAACCAGTGAATCAAAGATGAAATCAAAAGAAAAATTAGAAAATATCTTGAAACAAATGAAAACAAAAACATAACATACCAAAACTTTTGGTATACAACAAGAGCATCAAACAGGGACATTTATAGAGATAAACATGTACATTAAAAGTGATCTCAAAAAAAAAAAATTAACTTTACATTTTAAGGAATGAAAAATAAAATAAACAAAAAATTAAAAAAATAAACAAAGCCTAAAGTTAGCAGAAGAAAGGAAATAAGATTAGAGCAAAACTAAACAAAATGGAGAATAGAAAAACAATAGAAAATAATCAACAAAACTAAGAGTTGGTTTTTTAAAATAATCACCAAATCGACAGACTTTCAGCTAGATCAAGAAAGAGAAGTAACAAATAAAGTCAGAAATTACAACTGATACCACAGGAAATAAAGGATTATAAGAGATTCCTATGAACAATATACAGCAAGATTGGATTATCTAGAAGAAATGGATCAATTCCTACAAACATATAACCTACCCAGACTGATTATAAAGAATAGAAAATATGAGATTTATAACTAGAAAGTAGATTGAATCAGTAATCAAAAAACTTTTCAACACACACACACACAGCCCAGGAACAAGTGGCTTCACTGGTGAATTCCACTAAACATTTAAAGAAGAATTAATGACAATCCTTCTCAAACCCTTCCAAAAAACTGAAGAGGAGGGAACACTTCCAAACTTATTTTATGAGGCTCATATGATCCTGAAACCAAAATCAGAAAAAGACACTCCAGGAAAAAATACAGGTCAATAACTCTGGTGACTAGAGATGCACAAATCCTAAACAAAGTACTAGACTAGACTGTTGATGGGAATCTAAAATGGTACAGCTGCTGTGGAAACACAAAATAAAAAACAGAACTACATTAACTATCAGGTGTGGTCTGAGAGGCCCACCATAAGGCAATTTCACTTCTGGGTATATATCCTAAAGAATTCAATGCACTGAGAAGAACATAATATTACTTCCATAATATTCTTGCGAAAGATGCATAACTTGAATCCAATCATTAGGAAACATCAGGCAAACCCAGACTGAGGGATATTCTATAAAATAACTAGCCTGTACTTTTAAATTGTCAATATCTTAAAAGTTAAGAGACAGAGAAACTTCTAGATTAAAAGAGACTAAAGAGACATTACAACTGAATATAACACATGATCCAAATATTTTTTTTTTCTATAAAGAACATTAATTGGAATAACTAAATCTGATAAGGTCTGTATGTTATAGTATGGCAATGTTAATTTTCTGATTTTGATAATCTGTTTTTATAAATACTGAAAATGATTTGGGAAAAAAGTAGAGAGAAAAAGATGAAGCAAATAAAGTATTGAGGAATCTAGGTGAGGGGTTTTGGGATTCTATGTATTATTCTTGCAATTTTTCTGTAAGTCTGAAATTATGTTTTAAAAGATTTAAAAAACACACAAAATACTATATGAATAAATATTTATTCATATAAATAGAGAGGGATGCGGAAAATACAAAGTACCTGAATTTTACCCCTAATATTCATAATATTTTCTCTAAAAATTAAAAACATGCTAATATTATGCTAAACAGAGAATCATAGATATTTGTTATAGTATTATGTAATGAAGAATTTGGCTTGCCTTGATCCTGGGAGGCAACTTCTAAACCACTGGAATTTCCCAAGTGATAGGAGTTATTCAGTCTTTGTTATTTATGGTGGGCCTCTCAGACCACACCTGATAGTTTATGCTAATAAGGTGCTTATAGTAGGCCCCTAGATAGTTTATGCTAACAAGATAATTCAGGATGGGAGTAGGATACCCCAGAAAGACCAATCATA